CCCCCACCCCCCCAAAAAGCATCACTTCTGGACAAGAAGAGTTTTTGAACTGAGTTTGCAGTTGTCCCTGGGGGATTTTCCTTTTACCAAAATTCTGGGTGGGATCTTCTAGGAATTTGAGACATTCATGGAGCAAGTTTTAAACTCCTTCACCCGAAAGAGTGAAAAGCTTCTGATAGATATGTAATAGATAGATAATAGAAGTTTGAGTTAATCTTACAGCAGAAGAATGAGCAGAAAAAGCTGAATACTGTGTATGAAAGTGCTCCCATTTTGGTGAAAGGACAGCTTTTATAGAAAGAAGTTAATCTGAATTTAAGGGCCTTCAAAATGATGCACATCCATATTCTGTGTCCATAGCTCTGCTACATTTCATACTGCACACTCTGACTATTTCAGAAAAACCCTTTTTGGATGCTTTTTATCTATATTTAGGATGCCATCCTCATTCTAGCCGTGTAACAGCCACACACTCTCATTTAGCTCCTTCTCCTTTACCTTTTATTCCTTGTCCCTCCAAGAGCAGGAACATCTAAGAGCAGCTTGACTGAAGTGTCAGACACTAAAGAGACAGGTGGAAAGGAGTGCTCAAAAATTACTCTTTGTATTTTAGGTAATTAAATGAAAGGGCTAAATTGAGCCTTTGAAATATAAGAGAAAAAAAGAGCTTCATGAGTCTTGATGATAACTTTTTAGTAGCTTACATCTTTTCCTGTCAATATAGTTTTTGAAGTCTCGTTTCAAGGTTTTTGTAGCAAAGCTGACTGTAATTATAAACTTGTGAGATAGGAACTAAACTTTCCTGATTTCTGGAGAAGAAGGCTGCTTAGAAGAGGTGGAGATCACATTTCTATTCACAGAGCTCTGTCAAAAACCTGAAGTGAACTGGAGGCACAACTGAAGAACAGATTCTTCCTCAATATGCCTATATATAATTACCTATTTATCCATTTATATATTTAAAACAAGAATGCACAGAAGGATTTATATATAACATGTTTTCTTGTTATATGTCCAGTAGTATCCTATTTTTTAAAATTTATTCTTAATTATTTTAATTTCTTGAATTCTTGCTCTTATGCCCAGCAGTATCTTAAATATCTTCCTAAATAATTATTTTTCACTATGCAGTTGCTGGTACTTAACAGATAGTGGAGGAAAAGTCCTAATTTTTTCATCAGATTTTTTACCTTCTCTTTTACCTCCTGCTTCTTAGGATTATAAAGTTTATCTGAGGAGTAAACTCCAGCTTGCTTTCCTTTTTGAAGGAGCAGTAAAATTGGTTATTTTAGCTGAGTAGAGCTGCCTGTCTTCTAACACTTGGACTGTGAAAAGTAGCTTGAGAATAAACTCACCATTTAAGTACAGTAATATTATATAAAATATTAAATACCATAATACAGAATGTCTTATTTAATAATAACTTGTAACAATGATAGTAATTCTTCACTCAACAGTTTTCTCTCAGTTATTGCCTTAGAAATAACTTAGAGTCTAAAAAGGACACTACTTTTAGGGAATATATTAATTTCAGTATATCAAGATGTTAATTATATATTAATAGATTTTAATATATTTTATATTAATATAAGTATTAAGATATTGTTGTAGTCTGTTATAATATTAATATATTATCTATTAATATATTTATTTTCATTAATTTCAAGGATTTGGTTTATCCAGATTCCATCCGTATCTGTGCCTTGGAATGGGCCCTGCAGTGACTGCTCAGTTCTTTTTTCCTTCTCTCCCTTCATATTTCATTGTTTTTGTCACTGTGGTGGAGTAAAATCAGTCTCATGGCAGGGAATTTCCTCAGAGTAAGGAAATGCACCCGTAATAGAAGTAGTTCCCCATGATCAGAAAAATCTCCAACACAGAAAGTGATATTTATTTAATTACTATTAATTAGTGTAGCTGATTCCAGAAGGAAATCACCAAGGTTTGGGAAGGATGCTGTTAATGCCCATCTTTCTACCCTTACTGCATATAAACCTTTCTGTATTGTACAAACCCTGACACTTCTCTCCTGACTGAATAAACACAAACATATCAACTTATAAACTAAATATGTGCTGTTTTTTACCCAGTTAAAATGATCTCCTACTGATTTACAAATGGCTGGGAGAGGTTCATTATTATTCAGGAGAGAAGGAGTAAATATATTCTTAACACACTTCAGGTGAGTGCTGGGCATTGTCCTCCTATACCTCAAATTCATTTCCTTCCATTTCAGTCACCTGAGACAACCTCCAGCTGAAAAGTGAGGGTAGAAAATGACATTTTATCAAAGTTGAGTCCACAGAGAAGCTACATCCTCCTCCTGAAATATTAAAGTCTGTATTTTTAGTGCAGAACGAATCCAAGGCATTCGGAATTACTGGCACTGAAACGTGAAATCCGTGCCTATGTATTCCATAGATGCAAATTCCTCATAAGGAAGCAATAACAGCTAAAATGACATTATTACTGAACAACCAGAGGCTGTTCTCACTCACACAGAGAGGCCAAGCCAGCCCTGGAATGCTCAAAACCATGTCCTGAAAAGAAGTGCAGAGTCGGAGGAATCCTGAGCCCCCTGAGCCACCAGAGAGGAGAGGGAGATGCCCAGGAATGCTGCAGCAGGAAGTGCTTGTGGTTAAAAACAGGAGCAACCACATGAATCCGAGGTTGGAGGAGACAGCCAGACGACACTGATGGCAAAAAAATATTAATGCACAGAAAATAAAAATAAAAAGGAACCCAAGAAGAATTAAAAGGCGGCAAAAGATCTCTGTGCGTTTGGTTTCAGGAGAATAGAAGGGTAGAACCCAAATAGCTCAAAGTTTAGACAATTCAACTTTCTTACTGCTAAAAAAAAGAAATCTCAATTTGTCCTCCTGTGCCATCTGGAAGTTTTCTCTTAAACAAACAAATGAAACACACACAACACAAAAAATACTTCTCATTTTCATCTACACACCCACTAAAAGATCTCTGCATGAGAAACCCCAGGACGTTTCACTTTCAGCCTTGCACAACTCCATGGAGACCCCTGGAGCTATCAGAGATTATCTGTAACCTTCCCCTCATGTGCTAACAAGTAGAATTTCATAAAAATATAGAAATGCACAATGTTTCAAAAGGAAAGCAGTTTTAATTATCCCACACTGAGTAGGCAGGAAAAGATTTCTTGCACATAAAACATGTTATGGTACTGGGAAAATAATTCCTTCAGAACTGAACAGACTCTTTCATGAGAAATCCTTTTTTTTTTGGGAGTAATGATGCAAAGGAGGCCATCTTAAAACAAAGCAACACCATCCTAATTTGTCCCTGCCAGCAGGGTTGAGCACACCCAACCCACAGCACTTTTCCCCTGGAAGGAGATCAGAGCACTGCAGACACACAGTTAATTTGCGGGTTGCTCACATCTGCAAATTATTAAAGAGATGCTGCCACTTTCCATGTGAAATAAGGAATTTGCTGCTTGTACTTAAAAGAACTCTTTCCTCCCAACAAGTCCAAAATGCTCCTCGGGAAGGGTTCAGTGGCTCAGGAGGAGGGAGCATCCTGCTGGAGCCTGGAAGCTGCAGCCATCTGCAGCTTTAATAATAATTAAAATGTTGATTTTTACAATAATTTAACATGTTGATTATTCCATCCAGTTTGCTCAGCTAATTAGTGAGGAAATGGGACTTGCCCAGGGTTAGGTGGGACTGACCTGCACCTGGCTGTGTTTCAGGCTGGGTTTCCTATACCTTTGCTTTAACCATAATGTTAAATATGATAAAAATGAGGCAAATCTAGTAAAAAATTGGAGTTCTGAGGGGGGAACGCGTAATTTTGATGTCACAAAACTTCGCTCTGCTCTGGCTTTGCCAGTGTCTCTCGCCAAGCACAGGCTGCTCTAACCCAGGAGCTGCAGCAGTGGCCATCCAGAACAGAGCAAAAGTGGGGCTCTCACTAATTTTGGGGGATAAAATCCCCAGAGGAATTTTGGCCATGCTCCATATTCTTAGAACCACTTTAGAACGACAATAAAACAATGAATATTACTATTCTCTGCTTTTTTATTGTCTTTAGCTTTGCCTGTAAAGGGAAACGTGCAATTTTACGTGGTTTTAATTATTATTATACATCTAATCCAGAAAATAAGAAATGAAATAGAAAAGAAATTATTTTTGGTCTTCTGATGGTGCTTCCTGATCAAATAACTAAACTGAAAAGCAAAGAGGAAATGGGTATGTTCTGATAGTTGTGCCAAAAAAAATTCTGCTCAGCTGAAATCCAGGCTGTGTTCCGATACTTTTTTCTTGGTGGCACCAAGCAATTCAGTCTAATTTTAATTTTTCCAAAGATTCCTGGTGTATTTTAAACATCACACACAAGAGAGATGCCTCAAACAAGAAGAGGGGAAAGGAATCCATTTCTTCTTTCATAAAATCTCCTACTCTCCTTGATTAAAGAACAGGAAATAAATTAAGTAATTCCAAACAGGGAGTAATTGATTTCTACAGGTTAACACAACTAATGGCGTTCTCTATTAAACTCCAGAAAAATGAATACAGGATTATTGTTCTAATTTCATGGATGAAATCAATGCTTTCATCTTGCCTGGCACAGGGTTTCAGGGGCTTACTTCAAGTCTGTTTATTTGATAATCAATTCTGTAATCAACAGACATGTCCCTTTCCTCTGCTCACTTATTTAATGATGGGTATTTTGACAAATTTTATGGGATTCAAGTCTTCCAGAGATTTTTGATGGACATTTTTTGTCAAAACTGAGTGGTAACATTAATCAGGTTTCCAGGTTCTTGGGAATTCAGATTTACATCACAGACAGCCCACTTTTGTTTTCAGGAGCTCAGCTGGTGTTCTTATGGTAAAATCTTTAAAATCTACTTGTACCTGAAGAGTCAAAACAATGCCAAAATCTATCAGTATAATTTTCATTTTTGCTTGTAAAATTGGGCATCTGCTCATGTGCATTTAAATCTCTCTCTCTCTCTCTTCCAGTGATCCGAGCAAAAATATCCAGTGAAAAGGTGGTTCCTGCCAGTGATGATCCCCTTGATACCCACAAAATGATCCGGTATGAAATCAAACAAATAAAGGTACATGGAACCACTCAGCTTTTTTGAAGTTCAATGCTGATAACCTCTGCATATTTCAGCCCAAAATAATTTACCCAAAATGCAGGGAAAGCTGGAGAAGTCTCCAGGTGCCCTCACAGTTAGACCCACATGAAAAAAAATCACAGGAGGCATTAAAAAAAGGGAAAGAAAAAAAGAAAAGGAAAGTTTAAATTAATCCTTAAATTTTAAGGATATAGTCAAATGTTTCCTTACAGAAATAACTACATAAATGCCAGAGAATTCCCTTTCCTCCCACTGGCACTTCAATGTTCTGCTGCTACTTTGCAGCACTTCAGGAACTTGAGAGATATTCAGGAGGTTTTTGCTAAATAATGATATTCAGGAGGTAGGGGTTTTTTTTATATTCAGGAGGTTTTTGCTAAATCATGATATTTTGATGAAGAATTTTGCTAAATAATGATATTCAGGAGATTTTTTTTTTATATTCAGGAGGTTTTTGCTAAATAATTATATTCAGAGGGTGTTTTTTTAATATTCAGGACTTTTTTTTTGCTAAGTCATGATATTTTGATGAAGAATTTTGTTATTTGTGATTTTGAAGGCACCAAAAATGTGCTTCATTCTGTGAGTGGTGTCAGCAAATCTGGTTTTGGAGGATTCCTGATCACCTGTGCTCTGCTGGTGTGGCAGCTCTGCATGATCCAAGCTTTCCAAAGGCAGGGGAGAATTTCCAGCTGAGGGAGCATGTCCTTTGTTCATTGTGAACAGGGATATTTGCAGGGCCAGGAGTCCTTCCCTCATATTCACACAAACAAAAATCCGTTTGTATGAACATTACTGGGGAAGCAAACACCCAAAGCCACAGCTTCAGAATCTCACTGGGTTTCCCCACTCTTTGTTCAGCTCCAATAAGGAGATAGATTCATTAATTCAATTTGAGAAGACATGTCTTGAGCCAATTGAAGTCACCATCAACTCTCACTGCTGTTCAAATGATCATGGTCATGAACATTAAAATGATCATTTACTTTTTTTCTGGAACACACAAGAAGTAGGTAATCTCTCTAAATGAAAATGTGTGAATGTGCACAGGTGAGGTGGGCTGGTTTTCAAGGTTGTTTCACCTCTCCTCTTTCACTGCATATTATTTTATAAATTTTGCGCTTTTCTGTTTACTGGGATCACTTAAGAAGATTGTTAGGTATGGCAACATGCTTTCAAAAAAAAATTAAATCATTCAAGTTGTATCCACTGATAGAATTCCCTCACAGGAGTTTAAGTAGGAGGAATCTTTGGTAAACAAGATTATCTCGAAGTATTCGCAGGGATGGTTATTACACGGGACTTCTGGTAAGGTTTTATGGCAATTTCAACCAGCCAGTCTCCACCTTGCTAAAACAAACCCCAAAGCTGTCACCATATGCCCCTTTCCATCTTCTTAAATATTAAGGATATATTCAAATGTTTCCTTGCAGAAATAAGTACATAAATGCCAGAGAATTCCCTTTCCTCCCACTGGCACTTCAATGTTCTGCTGCTACTCTGAAGCACTTCAGGAGCTTGAGAGAAAAGCAAATCTTCCACCTCAGCACAAACAAGAAGGAGAAATCTAATCTGACAGATTATTTTCAGCCTATAATCCCATTCTTCAGCACTCTGAAATATTTGCGTATTGAAGCTGCTTTGGAGTTTCTCCCTAATTTTCAGCAGTGGAGGCCTGTCCAAAACTCAGGCAGAAGGAAGAGGTGTTTATTTAATTCCAAGTCAGACAGGCCTGGACAAAGCAGAGATGTGTTTTTTCATAAAGGTGCTCTACATCACACACAAGTTTAGACTAACAAAAGAAGGGTTTTGGTAACCCTCACCCCTCAAATCCTTCCTCCTGACCAGAGAGAATTTAGGACCAAACCTTCCCCTGCCCAGCACCCAGCTCCCTGCTCCAGGGAGGGAGGGATTTGGGGAAGGAAAGGATTTTGGTTGGGAACCAGGAGCTCTGTGACCTCCCCACCCTCAGTGCACCCAGGGTGTCACCAAAATAAACCCAGCAAGGCAAACCCCACAGGAGTGGCAGGGAGGGATAACCAAACATCCAAAGAATGTAACTGAGGTGAAAATTAAACCTGCTGCACAGTTCCTCAGTTTGCTGAGCCCTGAGCTCAGAGCAGCAGCTGGAGCACACCATGTCTCACCTCAGGTGCCAGCATTTTAAAGAATTTAATCCACTGTGTGTGTGAAAGGTGAGGATATCCTCTGCTCAGGTTCCAGTCTTCTCTCAAGTGCTGCTGCTGCTTTTCCTGCCGCCTGCAGCCCCGCAAAGGACCCTGCAGGGTGATCAAGGCAGGAGCATGCCCAGCCTGGGGGACAGGCAGAGAATTTGCTTTTTGGAGCACAGCAAGGAAGAACTGACCCTCCAAACATCTCTTTTGGAAAACATCCTTGGCTTTTTTGTAAAATACATCAAGAATTAGCGCCAAAAATTCACAAAAATTATCACCTGGGTGTGAGTTTTGGGGTAGACCATTCAGATGCTCACACTTTCCTCATCAATTCTCCCCTCTTGGAAGAGGAGCACAGAGCCCTTGGAGGTTATATTTGCTGTAACATTCAGCACAATGCTGCTATTTCTCTGCTCTGTTGCTCTCAGGGTCGTTGAGCTGTTCCATTAATGTGATGGGTTAAATTCTGTTTCTCTCATCTTAAATCCAGTGCATTAGGCTTAGCGTTAAAACATTGTTATTCTAGATGGAAACATTAGATATAATTTTAATATTCATTTTCAGAAATAACAAAAAAAAAAAAAAAAGTGGGTCTATTCATTTTATAGCAATGGGTTGGCATGTCAAGAAGACATGAATGTTTTCTATTACTGTTTTCTTGCAATATTTAGAGCATTATATTAAAGAGAGAAGCTAATACATGATTTATATGCAATTGAATATTTCTTTATAATATTTTTGTAACTGACTTGGTCATCACACTCATTCTAAAATCTTCAAGTAAAGCCATGTGCTTGTGCTGGTTCTACCCCTCAGGAGGATAGGGACAGTGTCCATACAGACTTTAGTAGCAGGTTCTCATCTCTCTATCCCCCAAATCCTCACCCTGTTTTCCTATTCCAATAAAGTCTCACCAGGAGCTCAAGTGAGCATGGACCACGCATCAATGCAGAACCAAAAATCCAGCCACCAAAATTAAACCAAATCCAACCACATTATCCCTCTGCAGAGAAATATGCTTTTAGAGAAGGGAGAATATGATTGAGAAGATTAAATATGATTTACTGAGTTAAACACAAGATTATAATCTTTAGAAATGCTGTAGCAATTATATAGGTCAAAACCAGAGAGAAGTCAGACAGTAATTAAAATAAAAAAAAAAACCCAACCAAGCAACCAAAAGACCTATAACAAAACAAACATTTAACCCATTTAAATATTAACTAAATCTCCATTATGGTTCACTGTGGATATTTAGGGGTTTTATAGCTAAATCAAGGTGTGCTGTCTGCACAAAGCCTCTAAAGTTGAGGCCAAAGCTGAGATATCCATGGAAAATCTGTTCCCTACAATGCCCTGAGGGTTTCTGAAGGCGGAGAGAGCTTGAAGCAAAGTTCACCTGCAGAGCTCACATGCTGGCCCTGCACAGACACAAATTTCCCTCTTCATTTTGGACAACTTCTGTGATTCCCACTGCTGCTTTGGACAGGGTGCCAGTTAATTTTGTGTTTTGGTCTGCCTGGGCCTGTTTGTTTTTTTCTCCAAAGCATTTCAAATCCCAGCTAATATTTTTGGATCGGCCGCGCGGTGACAACAACGTTGGCTTTTTTCCCCCCTCCATAAATAAAGCTTCAGAAAAACCAACATATTACAGAGTATTTTCTAGTGGCCCGTGCTATTTAAATCCCCTGGGAGGGCTTGAGGAACACAAACACATTTTCCAGGGACACCAGCTGCAACTGGGAGAGCTGTGAGCCCCTGCCATTGTCCCCAGCTGTCAACACGTGGCATGATGTCACCGGGCTGGTGGTGGCACACGAGGTGATGACAGGCACTCAGCAGCACCTTCTGCTCCCTCCCTCTGGGCTTGGACACAGCTCAGCTTGTTTTCATCATTTAACGGCTCGTTTCTGATTTTTTTGCGGGGTTGAAACTGCTGGTTAATTGGCAGCCAGCTTGAAAAGAGCTTTGATCCCAAATCTCTCCATTTTGGGGCTTGCAGGGTGGAAATCCTGAGGGCTGGGTGATGTTTTCCATGATTTGAGAAGGTCCCACTGGTGAGAATTTGGGATATGGAGAAGCACTCTGCTTTGGTGACCAAATATGAAAACAATGTGCAGGAAATGCTCAGCTCCTCAGCACGTTTGGTGTCCCAGGAGATCCCAACAACTCCAGTGACCAAGGGAAAGTTTCCATAGGAAAATGCTGAGAAATATTTGCATTTTGGCCTGCAATGCTGTCTCTGCATTGCTCCATTGCATTGCATATGCCACTAGGATATAAACTGAAGAGAAAGTTTTAACAATCCATGAAATACGCTGGAAAAGCACATTTTAAAAGCTATAATTTAAATAATCAAGACCTACTTAATTCCCTCCTAAAACTCTTGGATTAATTTCATTAAGTGTAGAGAAAAAGTCCAGTTCTTGGTGTCTTCTCACAATTATTCAGACTTTGGAGTCTTCTTTAAAGAGACTCAGCCTGTATCTCCTCCAGCTCTTTTTTGCAACTGTTTTTTCATGCTTGTTTTCCACTACTGACTCTCTGTTTCTGATCATTTTCAGATGTTTAAAGGATTTGAAAAGCTCAAGGATGTCCAGTATGTCTACACCCCTTTTGATTCATCACTCTGTGGAGTGAAACTAGAAGCCAACAACAAAAAGCAGTACCTTCTAACAGGTAAAATGGAGCAAAACTTATGTTCCTGGAAATTCAGAAGTAGCTGCTTAGAGTGAATTTAGCTAAAATATGCTAAAAAGGAATCCATTTATGTACTAAATACAAATACAACGGGATGTAAAAATTGTGTTCAGCTGTAATGATAGTGTGAGCTTACATGCTTTCCACCCTTCCTGCAGCACTCTTAGAGCAATTCCAAAGGAAATGAAGGTCAGTAATGATGTAATTAGTAAATAGAAGGGATTTTGATTCAGTATTTGCCATTATTATTTGATTCAAACCAACAGTACTGATTTTCCCAGGAAGGCAAAGGTGCATAATGGGAAAACACCTGTGTGTCTTCAGGTCTGGGGCTCCAAGTAACTACAGATTTTTCTATTCCCTCATAAAATCCAGTTTAACTGCATTTGCATCCATCCCTTGCTGGCAGGTTTTCAACATCTTTATGAAAATATCCTTCTTCATTCTTTGCAGCCATACAGCATGCAATTAGGAGAATATTCTCTCTGTTATAATTAAATTAATTAAACAAATATTAAAGTATGACTAATTTGGTGCAATTAGTTAAAAGCTCAAGGTATTCTTACACTTAGAATATTTAGAAAGCACTTTTATTGCTTTTATTTTCTTTGTGTTTTTCACGCTGCAGGCCAAATTTTAAATGATGGCAAAGTGCTGATCCACTTGTGCAACTATATTGAGCCGTGGGATGATTTATCCTTGTCTCAGAAAAAGAGCCTGAACCAGAGGTACCAGATGGGCTGTGGCTGCAAGGTGAGTGCAGAGCAGAAAAATGTAAATAAACACTGTTAATTCACATTTTTGAGAATAAACTCTAGTTCAGAGAAAGCTGCAAGGTGAGTGCAGAGCAGATAAATGTAAATAAACACCATTTATTTGCATTTTTGAGAATAAACCACAGTTTAGAGGAAGCTGCCATGTGAGTTCAGAGAAGATAAATGTGAATAAACACCGATTATTCACATTTTTGGCAGTAAACCCTGGTTCAAAGGAAGCTACCATGTGAGTGCAGAGCAGGTAAATGTAAATAAACAGTTTACTTGCATTTTTTAGAATAAACCCTAGTTCAGAAGAAGCTGCAAGTCAGAGAGTAATTTCAGAGCAGATAAATGTAAACTACTTATGTTTAATCACATTTTTTAGAATAAACCCCCTTTTAGAGGAAGTTGCAAGGTGTGTGCAGAGCAGAACAATGCCTGTTGTCTTGCACACCATTTATTTGCATTTTTGAGAAAAAGCCCCAATTCAGAGGAAGCTGCCACGTGACTGCAGAGCAGATAAATGTAACTAAACACCATTTGTTTGTGTTTTTGGTAATAAACCCCTGTTTATAGGAAGCTGCAAGGTGTGTGCAGGGCAGAACAATGCCTGTTGTCTTGCACACCATTTACTTGTATGTTTGAGAATAAACTCCCATTCAGAGGAAGCTGTGAGTGCAGAGCAGATAAATGTAAATAAACACCATTTATTTGCATTTTTGAGAATAAACCCCAGTTCAGAGGAAGCTGCCATGTGAGTGCAGAGCAGATAAGTGTGAATAAACACCGTTTATTCAGATTTTTGACAATAAACCCAGGTTCCAAGGAAGCTGCCATGTGAGTGCAGAACGGATAAATGTGAATAAACACCGTTTATTCAGATTTTTGACAATAAACCCAGGTTCCAAGGAAGCTGCCATGTGAGTGCAGAGCGGATAAATGTGAATAAACACCATTTATTCACATTTTTTACAATAAACCCCAGTTCAGAGGAAGTTGCCATGTGAGTGCAGAGCGGATAAATGTGAATAAACACCGTTTATTCAGATTTTTGACAATAAACCCAAGTTCCAAGGAAGCTGCCATGTGAGTGCAGAGCGGATAAATGTGAATAAACACCGTTTATTCAGATTTTTGACAATAAACCCAGGTTCCAAGGAAGCTGCCATGTGAGTGCAGAGCGGATAAATGTGAATAAACACCATTTATTCACATTTTTTACAATAAACCCCAGTTCAGAGGAAGTTGCCATGTGAGTGCGGAGTGGATAAATGTGAATAAACAACGTTCACTCACATTTTTGGCAATAAACCCTGATTCAAAGGAAGCTGCCAGGCGAGTGCAGAGCAGATAAATGTGCCTGAACCCCGCTGAGCAGGTTTTTGGGGATAAGCACAGTGGGCCCAAGGTGCTGAAGGAGCTCTCTCCCCAGATCACCACGTGCTACATGGTGCCCTGCTCCATCACGGCGCCCAACGAGTGCCTGTGGACGGACTGGCTGATCGAGCGGCGGCTCTACGGGCACCAGGCCCGGCACTACGCCTGCATCAAGAGGAGCGACGGCACCTGCAGCTGGTACCGGGGGGGCCCTCCCCCCGAGAAGGAGTTCATCGACATCAGCGAGCCCTGAGCGTTGCTTCTCCCTCGCCCAGCGCCCCGGAGGTTCCCTCCATCCCGCCCCGCAGAGCTGCCGCGTGCCTCGCCTCGAAACCAGCGTTGGTTGTCCCCAAAGGCTCCGTGGGGCTGCCACTGGTGCAGGACGAGGGACAAACCTCCTGGAGGCACCTGCTCTGCTCTGTTCTGCTTTGCACAGAGGGCTGGCAACGTCCTCCGAGGCACAACAAATTCCCTTTTTGCCAATATGAATGTACAAGAACAAATTTTGCCCGAATTTTGCCCCCCCCCCCACCCCGTTTTTGATAACCTGCAGATTAAGAGCTCCCCGTGTTTTGTTCCAAATCTTTCCGATGAACTACGGAATGTTTTATAGAACTATTTTTTTTTTTTTCTGTATGAAAGTCTTGGATACGAAAGAATTATTGTACAGTGTATATGTAAAGTATTATAACAATGTGCTATTAAAAAAAAAGATTCACAAATATTTCCTCACCTGTCGAAATGAGTTGAATACTTCTGTGATTAAAACAATCTGCGCTCCACACTTTGTACTTTCCTTATGTCACAGCTTCCTTTACCCACAGAGTTGTAACTTCCATTGATAACTAAATTAAGAAACAGCCCTGATAATCAAAACCCCCTTCTTAAGTCAGCATTCCTATGGACTAACCACACCTTGCTGAAGGAAAAACCAGATTTTTAATCCATGGGTTAAAGCATTCATCCATGGATTTAGGCTTTCCATGGAACAAATTCCAAGCCCAAATGATGACAGGCTAAAACTGCTCAGCGCTACAAGAACAATGTCAATCCTCAGGGCAGCTGCAGTAAAAACTTCCCTAAATACATGACCCAGCACTGTTAAATACCTTGTACCCCAGCACTGTTAAAACTTTAGAAACTCACCTGAAAATACATGCAATAAATTACACTGCAATTATTGCTGGAAGCTCTCAGATATGTAACCCAATTTAATAGAATTTAACTGTTTTTCATTCATGAACACCCACCATACCCTGTAAGTGAATTTGGCTCATTGTGAACTCAAACTAGAGCAGAGTTACAGCACATTTTGCTTGTAACCTTTTTAGTGCCATAACTTTCCTGAATTGATGACTGGAGTTAATAACTAATCCTTCACACATGTATTTAAGGTTCTAAAAGCAATTCAATTCACAGTGGTGAAACTTTGGGAAGTGCAAATGCCAAAGTTCAGACTATTTGTGCCCCAGAAAAAAGGGGCAGAGCCCTCAGGCAGGATGGGAATCTCCAGTAGCTGCCTTTTCTGACAGATTTTACTATCAAAAGGACAGGATTGGAAACACTCTTCTAAACAAGATTTACTTTTCCTGTGACTAAGTTCATACATTTCCAGTGAAATGCCAATGGTGCAAGGCCAACAGGACAACATGTCATTATTCCTTTGAGGAATATGTGTCCCATAATACATAAAAGCCAATGTTTCACTTTTTATTTACCATAAATCAGTCTGGCTCTTTTAATTTACAACCCTGAATTAAAGCCATAGCTATGTGCTGCCAAATGTAAAGCCCAGTTTGATTTCTGCTTTACTCAAGACAAAACAAAAATTTCCCAACATGAACAATTTGGACCATAGACTTATATTAATGAAACAAAAAGAATAAAAAGCTAAATTTCTTATGAAAAATAACTGATATTGCAGTGACAGTATTGGCAGAGCTATTTACTGACAGTGCTGCACATTTATATTATTAATTTCCAGAAAGATTCAAAGCCAGGCCTGATTTCCTTGTGTCAGATCCAACCAATACCTGGAGAAGCCCACAGAGCTCAATAACCACAAAGGTTAATATTCAATGGTTAATATTCTGTGCTTAATATTCAATACCAGTCCCGTAGCATTTGTCTCCAAGTCCATTTTGAAGGGCTGGTGCCTTTTGGATATCAGCAAACAGGTATTTTCTGCTTTTTAGCTCCCCAGAGCTTTGGTCCTATTTCAGTTTTACAGTAATTAGACTTGAACCTCAACTCACCCAGCCCAGATTGCCTTCTCTGTGCACCTTGCACAAAGAAATGCTTTCTCTGGTATTTAGGGACAGATTGTAATACAAATTGCGTGCCACAATTAGTTTTTAAAAATTTCCTACTTTTCCTGTTATAAAATATCCCTCATGAGGTGTTTCACAATGAAGGTCTGTCTACTTTGATTTCTGGCTGAGCAGAAATCTGCCCTAACTTCCCACAATGGATGGTACAAAGATTTACTTTTTTCCCTTATATCAATAAATGTGGCAAGAAAAGTTTTAAAAAAGCCCAGCTCATAATGAGATTTTATTTTCCCCGAGGAAGATTCTCAAAAGGCTTGACTAGAACGAGGCATTCTGTATATGTTATTTTAATATCAGGATTTTTACTGTAGTGGCACTGATACCTTATCAACAGCAGATTCTTTTTACAACATTTTCTTTTTGCTTCTTGAAACTGTGTTTGTGTTACATGAGAGGGGAGAGCAGAAATACAGCCTGGCACAACGTTTGACTTTAATTGGAAAATGGCTCACATGACTTTTAGTGAGAGTAGGGAAAAGAAGAAAGAAGGGAGATTGTATAGGTGAACAGGGGAAAAAACACCACCTGGAACATTGCTGGTGTTTCCTCAACGTTCCACATAGGTTTTAATTAAATTGTTCAGCAATTACGTTGGAGAAGCTGTGTTGTTTTTGCAGAGAACAGAAGATGTGGGAATGCAGTGAAATAAAGAGAACTAATTACTGAGTGAAAAGTCGTAGATATGACTCAGCCAGCAAGGAGTTCAAAAGCCTCACAGTGTTTTTTGTGATCAGTCTGGGATGAATGTTTCTGTTTCAAAAAGTGTTTCATTAAAGCAGCTCCATTTTTACACAAAAGAATGGCATCTTTTTTTATTTACCTCGTACTGCCTAAAGCCTCAGCACAAATGATTAGCAGAGGATGAAAGGAGCACCTCTGGCACTTCAGCTGACCCTTAATTCCCAGAGATTTGGTTTTTTTCCTTCTCCCCATGTTCCCCCTGAGCTGGTTTGCACTGGAGTGGGGGACAGCTCCAGGTTCCCGTTTGGAGAACAAAAAGGGAAGGAAAAAAAGCAAGAGGAACACACACATAAAAAAATTTAAACTGTAATTGCCAAATTCTGCATCATCAAATGCCAGTGAGGCCAGCTGTTGATAAAGTGTTCAAAACCCAAAACAAAATGACATGATATGGTTTAAGACTCTGATTTCCAGATCATCTTACAACCCACTCCAGAAATTCAAACAAAATGTTGTCTTGTACCACATTGCCTGATTATTTCCCAAGCCACAAAGTTCCAGATGCTTTCTTCAGGAGGAATAAAACCAAACAAATGAGTGTCATCACAGGCAGCTCTTTCAGCAGTTCTGAGTAGCAATGCAATACCCAAACGGTTCATTTTCTCTAGATTAACATTCATTACCATATAAATATGTAAAAAAATATTACTTGGCTGTGGAGAACGACATTCAAAAGTTCAAACAAAAGAGAAATAACAAGTTCTGGCTTTAATGAGCAATGTAGAGGAATGAAGACAGGGAAAACCACTCACAGGGTTGCTAAACTCGGAAAAATATGCCATATAAACTTATAAGTATGCCACATTAGTTCTTGCCCCAAAATCAAATGTACTTTTTTCCTATGAACTGCAGTTTGGCAATGCACCCAAAAGTCCTGTTTAAAAAAAAAATAAATTACAGCCAGTCTCAAGTTTGTAGGATCTTTTAAGGGTCATTGTGTCCCATACCCTTCTCACTGCTGCCTAAAACTGAACTACACCTTAAAACCATCATCCAGGTGTTCCTTGGACTGTCAGTCTCATCTGTGTTCTTTTTCTGTCTGTAAAGCACTGGGAATCAGTGTTAGCTCAGGTACCTGAAGATCACAAGTCACAACCACTGATTTTGGCTAAATTCAAAGCTCTGCAGTGCCCAGTGCATCACCTCCAAAGACAACAAACACTGCGAGTGCACCAGAAGGGACTGGAGGGAAAACAAACCATGAAAGTGACTCTTGCACTTTCAGAGCTGTTCAGTGTCTTTGTAAGCATTGAATCCCTCTGAGATCTGCAACTGGGCAGCTGAAAAATGACCACTTGTCCCATCTAAGCACCCTCCAGCTCACCATCACAGCGATTTCAAGTGCTCACCCTGTCCCACTTCTCTGAAAGCTGCCAAAATGGCTTTTGGAGTAGGCAGTAAATGGGAAAAGGGAATTGTGTGTCCCAGACCCTGTTTTACAGGCACAGGAAGCAGGTTTAGCACTGCTGTTTGCACCTACCATCTCCTTGTGGTTTGGGTAGAACGTCTGCTCGATCAGAGGGAACTTCTCTGGGCCCAAAGTTTTGTAGACAGACACCAGCTGGGCAAACTGCAAAACAAAGCAGAGCAAAAGAAAGCTCAGGAGAGAAACCACACTGTGCCCAGAGGAGCTCCTACTCAGGACATTTTGTTTCTTGTCTTGTCTTGGCTGTTTGATAAACTCAGCAGATCAAGATCTCTTCTCCTCCTCACACACCTCTTTAATCCACCCAAGCTGTGACTTCATGTACAGACCAACGCACAAAAACACCTTGAAAAGTTAAACGCTCTCAGGTACAGGAACTGAAATATATAGGATACACCTGGATTTCAGATATCTCATTATTTGTGTGTTTGAATGATAAAATCATTATAATTTTGTCTCTTCTGTCATCTTAAACCTAAAGCCCAGGCATATTTACCATTCATTTAGTGGCTGGCACCGCGCTGACATTGATTTGGCAGTGTTGGCAAAGAGATAAAAGTAACTGTGCCATGCTAACAGGGCAGGTGAGGAACAAACTGGGGAGGTTTCATCTCCCAGGCTGCAGCCATGAGCCGTTCCCACATGGCCATCCTTGGATGGGGGTGATTTAAACTGCTCCCTGTTATGCCATTCCTATTCATGTTCTTTATAGAATATTCTGCTATAACACTTGGCCATCCTTGGATGGGGGTGATTTAAACTGCTCCCTGTTATGCCATTCCTATTCATGTTTTCTGTAGAATATTCTGATATAACACGTGGTCATCCTTGCCCCATCCCCAAAGATGGGGATGATTTAAACTGCTCCCTCTTATGCCAATCCTATTCATGTTTCTTACAGAATATTCTGCTATAACACCATGTGTTAAATCAGAGTATTCTTACCCCACCACCAAAGATAAGGATGATTTAAACTGCTCCCTGTTATGCCATTCCTATTCATGTTTTTTATAGACTATTCTGATATAATATTATTTTAAAGCTCCCATGACACATCTTGCCTACCTGTAATTTGGACTGCAGCAGCTTCACACGGAACATTTACATGTACAACAAGAGAATTCTTTATTAACTAGAGATTGAGTTGGGGCTGTTCTTTCTCTTTGCTGAGCAGATAACTCTCGTCTGGTAACAGTTGGGAAAGGAAATCCCTCCTGAGCCCGGGCTGAGGTTTCCAGGGAGCAGGAGGGCCCTGGCAGCCCAAGGCCAGAGCTGTTCCAGGGCTCCAAAGCTCTGGCTCAGCCGTGCCTGTGATGTGTTCAGCTGTCCCCGTGCCAACATGGGACATAAACAACTCAGCACAACACTGAATAGTGGGATTTGCTGCTTGCAAACAGCACAAAAAGCACAGAACAATAGAACTCTGTCCATAATGCAGATAAAATACCTACTCTGAGGAGAGTCTCAGGGGCAGGGAGAGCAAAAACTGTTTAAAGGGAAAAAAAACCCTGTGAAAGCTTTGCTGGCATTTCCAGCTGGCAGAAAGGACTTGTTTAATTTAGTGGTGTTTACTTAGGTTTGGTAAAATACATCTTTAAATTTGGAAGGCCAGTGGAAAATACCTTAATGATGAGCAGTCTTCACCAAAAGCCTAAGGAATTGTAGTTGGGTTGTGTGCTGTGCAAATCAGGCCTCAAGGAAAGGAAATATTATCACAGCTACCAAAATAAGGTGGTTTGGGAATAGGCTTCCTGACAATTTACCCAATATTTCAGTTCTCATCCAAGAGCCAGATTCCGAATTCCACAAGAAAATACTGACCATTAAATACATAATTTTTGCCAAGCAATTGTTAGGTTAAAATAAATATATTTCCCTATCTTTAAATAAAAAACTCCAAAGAAAAAATAAAATCATATGATTGTGTTTCCTATGATTCTTTCTCTACTTTCTTTTCCATTTTCACTGTAAGTGAGCAAAAGACACTCAGAAAACAGCATATTTTGTAGGGGTTGTGGCATTCATGCCAGAGATAAGAAAGCTGTAATTGAGATTAATTGCTAGCAAATGCTTGTTTAAAATAACATCTATATAACTGTTTTATGGTTTTATGTTATTTTATAACTTAAAATAACATAATATCAACCATAGAGAACAGACATATATCACTCCACAGTGTCCTCTAATCCAGTAATTCAGCTGGGAAATAGCAGGTAGGCAAAGTAGGTTCCAGTTTTTGAGGCAAAAGAGAGAAATCTCTCAAACTGCCACAGCTGGGGGATGATTTATCCTTTACCCTGCTGAGGTGTTGCTTCACCTCTGTGTCTACAAATCCAGGAATCTCTTGTCAATCATTTCTCCCCTAAAATGCAACCTCATAAATTCAGCCCCAATTCACACAAAATTTCAGCATTCTAATTGTACATCCATAAATTGCCATAAATATGTTTTTATTTTCCCTGATTGCTGCTGGGATATTTATAAAGAAGAATTTCATTTAAGTTTTAATGACCTTCTATCAATTTTTAAGTGGGATTTGGACTACATATTTTTGTATTTTCCTTTTCAGCAGCTGAGTACCAGTCCTGGGCAGGATCATCATCTTTATAGATGATAAATTACTGAATTATCTAATCCAATGTCAAATGTTTACAGACATGGGATGTTCATGAAATAGAAAATATTAACAGAGCCACTGAAGTATTTTACATAGATATCAAAACCCATAATAACCTAAAAGCCCCCAACTCCTAGAGCTTAGTATTTCAGCAGAAGTCATTTTTACATCTTAAGAAAAAACCAAGAAAGTGTAAAAATGTTCTCAGTTTAGCAAGCTGAGTTTACTTCTCATTTTCCAATTTTGCATCTTCTTTTCAGTCCCCAGGTACATGTGTTTACAGTTTGCAGATTATTATTTTAAAAGGAAAATGGTTGGGTTTTTTAGCATTTGTTGTAATGTCAGCTTTTTTTCTAGTCAGGATAAAAACCTTCCACACCCAGGCCAGGATTGTTTCTTTATAACAGAACAGGACAGTGACAGCTGTGCTTTTTCTCCTCTCCAACAAGGTGTGACACAGAGGAGAAATATTTAGTCAAAAAAAACATTTATTCCCTTTGATTGCATATCAAATCTTTCTGGGGTTTCACCACCCCAAGACTGGAACTCCAAATTTGACTGCACAAATCGTGCTGTAACCAAGCAGGAGCTCCCAAAAATCCCTCTGCTGTCTCCATAAAGAGTCAGATAATTCCTTTGCTTATCACCCTCGAGGAGTTAAACTGTGCCTGATTACATCTCTGCCATCTCTGGGAGGCTGGGGTTTGTTCCTGAGCAAACCACACCAATTCCTCCCTTGGAAATAACCAGATATGATATTTAATTCCTGCAGATGGTGCTGCCTCTAATTCCACAAAACTGCTAATCCCTCTTGCCAGGCTGCAGGGTTTGTGGCACTTTTTTGGAATTTCCTGGGATGTGAGCAGGATTTTAACTCAAGGAATTGCATCTCCTTCACCTGTTCCCTGCTCAGGCAGGACCCCTGGCCAGTGGGTTTGACTGAACCCGTTCTGCCAGAGATTTCCCTCTTTTGCAGGTTCATTACCTGTCCTCTTTACAAGCTGAGAACTCCAGCTGGCCATCTAATGTTTCCTGGGATCTGAAACAATACCCAGATTCCCTGGGTAGCCTTCTACACCCACCCTGGCATTCTCTAGGAACTGAGAAATGGGAAAACTTGGATGCGTGAACACTTCTTCAACCTGTCTGTCATTAAAAAAACACTTTCAGCTGAGATTTAACTCATCTCTGGCTGCTCTAAGGTGTGGGCTCATCTTAAGAGTGAAGAAATTCCATGAAATACCACTTTTCCTCTGGGTGTCCATCTATAAACTTGCCACCTTCCAAATGCATTAATGAGGTTCAGAATTTGTGACAAAAATTCCTGAAGTTAATTTTTCCAATTTTCCAGTGTAATCTCAGTGCTCACCAGGGATGGAGGCCTCTGCAATGGGATTTTACCCTTCAGTCCCTTTGCCCCACAGTGACCTGCACAGGGTTCCTGGAGGGTCTGCAGGTTTGGAAAGCTGAAAGATGAGTTGGTTTGCATTATGGGCTGCTTATGTTACAATTTTAGGGATTCAACAAAGAAAATGACACATGGATTTCTTCATCTTTTCTGATGGCATCAGGAAAAATGACCCCAAGTCCATTTTTAGGCTGAAATGTCCCTTTCCAGGCTGAGACTCAGATATGTGGCTGGTCATTCCATAAAGGCTGGGTTATCTTGTAAGAATGAGAGATGTTCAAAAGCACGAAGCACAAAGAGGGGTCCTTGGAGGCCAACAAACTGAGACACAAACATTTGAGATCCTTCAGAGGGAGGAGGAATGAAGCAGTTGAGCGGAAAGGGCTGGAAAGATGCATTTGACACACATTCTCTGTGGGAGTCAATCAACTTTGGCCAAGATTTTTTCACCATATCTGCATTTTAAACACAGTGTCTGTACTGCATTGTAATATATTACTGTATTTTTAATATTATTATTACCTGGGAAGAATCTGTGTTACCTTTTGGTGCCCTCCACATGCTTCTTTGTTAAGACTGGTAAACATTTCTTGTCTTACGCTTTAGCAAACCCTGAGTGCTTTTCCAGAGGGCTGAGTTCACACACATTTGATACCTCACAGGAGAATGGAGGGGAGCAGACTCTGACTGCAGCGGACACCCTCCTCTTCAGCAGGAGCTGACACACAGCTCCATGCAAGTATTCCAACTCCCAAAGTCAACCCAGGCCTTGACACAGCCACTGAAGGGTGAAACAGCTCCTACAAATCAGTTTGGGTGCACAAGCAGAGTGCAGAGGAGATGGGAACTGCAACGGAACTCGGTGCTCCTCCAGTGGCTTTTATCAGTGGTGAAGAGAGAGATGGGGATGTGGTGTGATGGTCAAAGAATCTGAATTTATTGTGGAGTACAACTGCTTATATTCTTATTCTAGGAAGACTAGTAATGCTTTACTACAGTGATTGGATTAATCATCACATAAACAAACTTACACATTTTAAACATCTCTTGCTTGCAGAAGTCTGATGTAATTTTCTTTTTCCTGGTAAACCCCTCTGGTTGAATCTTCTTGCAGTCTTG